ACAAGACAATCAAGGGCATCATCAATCCTTGGGGTGGTGTACTGGTCAGGAATTGTTCATTGGTTAAGTGTCCTATAATCAATACACATCCTCACTGTCCCATTCTTCTTGCGAGCTATAACAATGGGAGATGCATAAGGGCTCCTCGATTCTGTAATAATACCTGCAGCAAGTAGATATTTTATGTGCCGTCGAACGTCCTCAATGTCTGCAGGTGCAAGGCGACGAGACCTCTCTCTAAAAGGTCTGGGATCATGCAGGTTTATGTGATGTTCGACCCCTTTGGCAAGTCCTACGTCCCATTCCTCCAAGGAAAACACATTTCCTTTGTCCGACAATTTCTGACTTAACCTTTTCTTCCATTCTTCTGGAACACTGGAGTTTCCAAAATGAAACAATTCTGGATTAATAGTGGTAAGGACATTGTTACTCTTCTGAGCAATAGTCACTGTATCAGTTGATTACACTTGCGCTACTATAGTCCCAGGTGGAAGAAAGATGTCTCTAGAGGTCTCATTGTGTATTGGTACTCGAAGTTGATTCAAATTTTCCTCTTCAAAAGGTAAAACCACAGGGGGAATGAACAGTCAGGAAGGCAACTGATCATCTGCAGAAGTTTCCACAAGGAAAATGTCCTTTTGTATGGGCTTCTCACACTCTACTTGACATATTGCTTGGAGCTCCCCTTTTGAAGGTACTGTCAGAGAACCGGGTCCCACCCACTTTACTCTTCCCTGTGAACAGTCAGCACTCTCTTTTGATTTAGGTTTTTGCAGACAACACAACTCCTGATAAGGCGAACTGATCCTAAAGCTGTGAGCAATGCTGGAAGAACCAGTCTCTTCTGTTAGCGCCGCCAACCTTGTGAAAAAACTGGCATTTGTCCAAATTATCACTGGGACTAATTGGGGTCCTTGGGGCTCTGGACAGACCAAGGCTAGAATGGAAATGGTTTCCTCCACGTTGGTACCGGAGGTGGGGAAAGAAGCGTCAACCACAATATATCCCTTGTAAGGATAATTAGATGAACTGAGTCCCCATATAGATAATCCATGAAGTGGTTGAATTGGCACATCAAGCAAGTATTTAGAATACCAAGAGTCAAACACAATAGTGACTTGGGATCCACTGTCCAAAAGAGCTCTACATGGGTGTCCATTGAGCTTCAGGGACACTGTAGAGGTAGGTCCCACCAATCCTTTAGGGAGACATGCTATTTCTAAGGCATCAATCTGACTTTTCTTTGAAAAACAATCAGGTTTTCCTGCCTTATTGCTGTCATTTGCCGTTTCACTTCTTTCACTTTTAGCCTTCTTTAGTGAACGAACAAGCTTTTGGATCACTTTTGTGGAATTTTAAGGGGCTTGGCACCTAGTTGCGATGTGTCCATCTTCTCCGCATCGATAGCAGAAGAAGTCTTCCTGGATCTGTCTAAACCTGCCTTTGGGTGGCATAGACCAAGAGTTGGATGGCCTCTGAACTTGCTCAGGCGACTGGCTATGAGTTACACTCATAACACTAATCTTCTGCTGCAATTGCTTTATTTGATCTTTCAGAGATTGCACCTCCAAATCACGGTGGGTATCTACATGTGTCTTTGAAGAAGTAGACCCAGACTCCAGCAGCACAGAAGCAGCTGAAACATTTGGGGACCCTTGTACTAGCCTGGCTCTCAGATCTTTGATGTCTGCTTTTAACTCTTTCACCACAGAAAAGCTAAGTTTCCCTTCGTCATGACCCTGAACAGACTTTACAGTGGCTTTTATTTTCTGCCTTGCAGCTTCATTTTCCTCAGCTTCTCTGACCTCATTCAAAAGTGTCAAAAAGTTTGGTGGGTGACTTTTCCTCTCTCTAAGCCTCAGCTGCAGAAGCATTAGGTCTGACTCAACAGCCCCTCAAATTAGTTGCTCAACCCTAACTCGATCCAACATTTGTGGAGACACTCCACCTTTCTGCACAACTTTGTTTAGTGCTTTGTCTACTCTACGCAGAAAATCTGATAAGGCTTCCCCAGGGCATTGTCTTAAAAGGCGAAAGGCAAAATACAAATCCTCTCCTGTAAAACACTAGCTTCAGGATTAGAGAATCGTACTGCCTTAATGATCTCGAGTGCAGACCCTTTTAGGCTCTCTACTACCCTTCGTCTTTTCTCTTTTTCTGAACACTCACTCAGCAATCATCATATGGGCTTGATCAACCCAGCCCTCCAATGTTTCTTCCCCTTGAGGTGTAGGCACAGTGCCGGAAAAAGTGCGTAAGACAACAGTTCAGTGGGAACAAGCTCAGGGTTAATGGTCTCACGACACTCGCATAACACCAGTTGTTTAAATGGGCTGGAACTTTCCTTGGTAGCTCTTACTCGCACTTTTCCCCAAGCTTTTACAGATTGTGTGACATCCTCAATATGTGCCACTTCCACCTCTGTTGACACTCCTACCAACAATATGGCATGAGTCTTATCAATCAGAACCTCTTCACACCAATTAGTGAGTTCTGCTTGGAAATCACAAGAGCCAGACGAATCCATCTTAAATTGCAAAACAGTCAGCAAGAGGTAAACTAGTTAAGATACCAACAAAATAAATTTGAGTTCCCCGTACGGGCCACCATTTTATGTAACACCCTACTCAGACAAAAGTTTCTTCTTTCCGGAGATATTTAGAGTGATCACACGGGTTCTTTTATTTTTGTGTCTCTCGACTAATTTTGGGAACTTGTTTTAAACTCAACTAACAATAGTCGAACCTCTTACTGATTTGAAGCACAGAAATAAAACCCTCAATATGAGTATGTAACAACACTACTACCACGATTTAAATCACAAACCCAAAATAATGAAATTACTCTGTTCTTTCACTATAAACAACTACAAAGTTCATTAAAGGTCCGTTGAATATAGAATAAAAATAAAAAATATGCAAATACGAAGAATTTCAACTTCCCTAGAGTATTAAAAACACTCTCCAAAATGTCACTAATTAAATCACTTCAATATTCCAAATGGCAAGTTGCCTATGTAGTTTGATTTTAATTACATAAATTAACCCTTCAAATCAACAAATGACAACGGGATCATCTTACTCAGATAAACCAAAAATAGTCGTGGGCCCACACACACACACACACACACACACACACACATTTTCACACAGTCTCACGTGTATGTTTTCCCCCACGTTGTAGGCCTGTAGCGTTGCTTGGGTGCGTTGTGGCCTTTAAAGCAAACTCAAAATTGGCCCCTTCACTCTAAAAGAGCAAACAATAAAATAAATAATACCTGTAAGTCCCAAAGCTGTCCGTTTTTGGCTCTGGGCTGCTCTTGTGAAATGGTCTGTGGCTCCGCGTGTCCCACGTAGCCAGAGGAACTCTTAACCCCACGGTGATTCAGAGCGCTATCTGGTTAGTCATCATGCTTTAAAACGACTGTCTTTATAACGAGTTGCCTCAGAAACGCAGCGCTAAACTGCCGTCTCGTCCCAAGAGATCATATATCACTCTCTCTCACCCATCGCGGCAAAATTGAAAGATGCTGTCTTCGTTTTGAAATCAACAAAACATTAGTTTTTTCACACCTTACTCCTAAACAGTAAAATAAATTAGTCACGAATCACTTACTAACGGTTAGTTAGTCAAACAAACACCATTTAGGCGAATCAATCCGATCTGGATTTTTTTTCTTTTTACCTCCTCACTCAGCCTGTAATTTTTTTTTCTCTCGCAACCACCAATCACCATCACGAATAGTCAAGTCAAGTCAAGTCACATTTATTTATATAGCGCTTTTCACAATACAGATTGTATCAAAGCAGCTTCACAGTGATAACATGTAAGTAGCACAACACAGATCAACAACATTGCTAAACACTAAATAACCCCAACTGAGCAAGCTCAAAGCAAGCCAAAAGCAAGGCGACAGTGGCAAGGAACCAAACTCCATCAGATTGGATGGAGAAAAACCTTGGGAGAACCCAGGCTCAGTCGGGGGCCAGTTCTCCTCTGGCTTACATTCATATTGTTTAAATATAAATATTAAATATAAATATTGTTTATGAATCAAACGGCGCCATAACATATCGCAGGCGTTGAGTCGTCTCATCACAGGCGTTGAGTCGTCTCATCACAGGCGTTGGGGCATCCGAAATCCCCGTGAGAGGCTATATAGCTCTCTATCCCCGTGAATAGCTCTCTAGGAGGTGGGCTTTAGAAATCCCTTATCCAATAACCAAAAGAAATGATCAAACTTGCTTGTAAAAGCCACATTGTCCAGCAAGTACATTTCAACCAAACAAAATAACAAAACTGAATTTTAAAGAAACAGTCCACATATATTGATATCTGTGAATTACATCAAACATAACATAAATAGTATGTACCATATTTAAACTACATTAAAAAAATGCTCAACTTCACCTAGGTTACACGTGTAAACAAGTGGATTCAGAGAGAGAGCCATATCAGCGTTATGAAGAGGACGCGACTGTGCACCTTTCAGACAGCGCGTCTAGAACTGGATGAACCTGGTATTCGGTACCTAGAAAAGCTGGTACCGTAACATTTTTTTTTTTTAGTACCGACTTGGTACCGAAGTACCGAGTTTTTTGACAACACTAGCTGACACAATGTGTACATTCTGTGAGTGAGATCCCACCCTCTATGGGTGGGTTGAGAACATGCAGGACAGCCCTTACTACTGACTGTAGTCTTTAGCCTCTGGCCAAAAAATCCTCAGATGACGCAAAATGATGATTTGGAGGATTTTTTCCAGACAAAAAAATACATAAATCTCTCGTCTCAGGGGGATAATGAGAGTGGAAAGCACGGTAATTTGAAAATACTACAGGTTTCCTACCAATACAAAGCTTAATGCTAAATCCTGAAGTATCCCTTTAAACAGAAGAGTTAATGTACTGCTTCAGTATACAAAACCCATTAAATCATTTCATAATAGATGATTTGTACAGATTCAGCGTTGCAGAAATGATTGTTTTAAAGATTTTGGTTTTGACTAATTCCTTTTCATTCTCTCTCCACAGGCTCATTGTCATTATGTGGTAGTGAAGCTGTTTGAAGCTAAACTGAGTGAGATTGGGGATACGGCTGTCCACTCTGTGCTCAGCACTTTGGCTCTGCTTTATGCCCTTCATGGAGTCGCGCAGAACACTGGAGACTTTTTACAGGTTCTAGACCATACAGTATATAAGACATATTTAGTTCATATATTTTGATCAACCTAGAGTAACCTTTTGATTAAACTGTACCTGAGACTGCAGAGTTAATTTAATCGAAATTTAGATGTTGTGAAATGTTAAGATTTATTCATTAACAACCAGGGATGCAAACAGCATAATCGTGTCTTTTCCACGTTCAAGTTCATTATTCCAAATGTAGGTGTGCGGCAAGCGGGCTCATCATTGAAGCGACAAGCTCTTTTTTCCAGGTGGGGCGAGATGAAAACACCTTGACTTTTCAGAATGCCACAAGCGGCCACCACAGGTCATGTGACAAGAACCAACCAATCAGCTTCACCTTTTCGTAATAACATTAAAAGCTCAGTCAAAGTGAAGGATGGGTATGCAACCCAAACACCCGGGTGTTTTTATCTTCTCTGTAAATAAATTTTGTGGGAGAGCTACAGCAAGGGTTTTTCAGTCGTGGAAATCCATTAGCTACTAAATAACTTTTGTCGTTCTGAATAGCGCAGTGCACGGTTGCATAGCAACGAAAGACAAATTTTACTATAAGCTAATGTGCATTGTAAATGTCAGGAATTTATCTTTTTTGACTTTTTTCGATTGCTAAACAACAGTGAGCACAACTTGAGCTACATGTGCAAGAACTCAAACTCCAGTCTGCGCAGCTCAGTTCATGTGGACCGAACTCTAGTTCGTTTTTCATTGCTTAAACAGTTTTCAAAAATCTACGCACTTATCCCATGACTTTAACCATAACCTGCACAACACTGTGGATTTACAGCACTTTGTCCAAATGCTTACACACATTGCTGTCGAATCTGTAAACCACACATTCAAAACAGAATAGATTTCAGCCTTGTACCTTTCACACACTGCTGATTGCAATTTCAGCTGAAAGGCTGAAAACCTGTGGCTGATGCTAGAGAGAGGCAGGATTAGCCACTCACTTATTTGTTCGAATTACAGTATGTACTTTTAATTTCTACCTTTTTTTTTCTCATTACTGTAATTCCATAAATTACATGTGTTTGCATCCCTGTAATAACAGTTATGAATAGTTATTTTGTCTCTGATCATAGAGGGAACGTCATCTCACTCACCAGATACATTAAAAAACAGGAGATATGTATCAATACTAGCTCCAAAACTGCTGCACTGATCTTTAAATGTACTGTTTATCCAGGGATGTCAAACTCCACAGCCCTGCAGACTTTAGCTTCAACCTAAATAAAACTTGCCTGATTCAGGGTTATTTGAAAACTACAGGTATGTGTGTTTCAACAGGGTTGGAACTCAACTCTGTATTGTGGCCCTCCAGGAGCTGAGTTTGACAGCCCTGGGGCCTGTACCATAATGGTAATTGAACAAACTAAGTTGACAAACTTGAGTTGACAAATCTAAACCAATCCGAACAGGCTTTGTTGGTACCATAAAACTGATCACCAACTTTCTCCAACTCAGGCTTTGATCCTGAGTTCATGGAGCATGTGCTTAAACATCCCCTGACATGAAATTTTCACTTTCTGAGGTTTTGTAACATTAATATGAGTTCCTTTAGCCTGTATGGTCCCCCAGTGGCTAGAAATTTCAATCAGTGTAAACCGAGCGTGGCTATCTTTCTCTGCCTTTGAGAAAATGAAAGCTCAGGCGGGCTGATTTTGAACAATTAGGCTACACTAACCGGCTGCATGGTATAGGCCCCTGGTATTGTACTCTTCTTTTTTTCTTTTTCTTTTAGCACAAATATGTGCTAATTAAGCTTTAACTATTATTGTTGTTATTATTACTGGTATTGTGACAAACAAACTGGTGGTGAGGTTTTGAAATTGATTTCTCTAAAACTAAAGCAATGACCGTGGAGTTTTAGAGCTTTTATCTTTTAAACGCATTCCAACTGTTCTAACTTTGAGCATTGTTTGTTTATTCTAGTGTGCTCCAAAAAGTTGACAACATTCATTTGAAGCAGATAAACACATTTACAGTCTTTCTATTCTGGTAAAACAGACAAAAAACTTTTGATGACTCTAAGATATAAATGCATTTTTGTCTAATTGTATAACACAATGCTGACAGGGTTGGGCCCTGTCTTGTGGTTCACAGGGTTGTCCCACAGATTTGCAGTATGCCACTGGACATTGAGACAGCTGTTCCTATACCAGCAGTTTAGCATATCTCTTCTAGGTGTAACAGCTGTTCCTGATCATATTTTTCTTCTTTGTCAGGCTGGTCTGCTAAGTGTTCCTCAGCTGACTCAGATCTCACAGAGACTGAAGGATCTCCTCTCTCAGCTAAGGCCCAATGCAGTGGCTCTGGTTGATGCCTTTGATTACCGCGATGAGATGCTTAATTCTGTTCTGGGGCGATATGATGGCAATGTCTATGAGCACATGTTTGAGTGGGCCAAGAAATCGCCTCTGAACCATACTGAGGTGAGTATATAGTGCATTGGATATCTGTGAAAAATGTTATTTTAGAAATGAGTATGTATCATAATCATGTCTGGTGAAGAATGTAATGGCAAATTGTGTTGTGTAAGTTAACTTTATTTTGGAAAATTAGATTACAAGAACCTCATATACATTTTTTTTTCTTAAGGTGCATGAGTCATACCACAAGTACTTGAAGCCCCTACAGTCCAAATTGTAAGCAGTGCATTTATGGGAGAAAGGGAAGAGTGTCCAACACAATTAATGCCGTTTGCTCTCACCAGCCCTAGATTTCCTTGCCATCTACTGTAGAAAATCTATTCATCCCATGTAAGGATTCTGCTCTCAGAGATGAGATTATTTTTTGTTTTTGATTCATTTTAAATGGGTATGGTTCCATTCTGCATTCTAATTATTTAGAGAAGTAGGTTCTCTATGCATTAAAATAAATGATAATTGAAGTGAATCCACATTCATTACTTTTTGTAATTGTATAGATTATTTGTTTTTTATGTAATATTTGCTTAAATTGTCTCTCTAGAGGATGTGATGTTAACTGAATAACTTGAGTCTGACTGCTATTAACTGAATAATTACGGTAAATATTTGAGTTCAGACATCCTCTTTAAAATCATGCCTTAATAAGACCCATAGACAGGAATGTTTTAATTTTTAATTTTGTAGCGAGAATCAAAATCAATGTATTGGTAGTTCTATTGCAATGATTTCCACCATTTACATAGAAGTGAATCTGTGATTATATTTTTTTTCACACTGTTGTTATTTCAATTCTTATGCTACATTAATAAAGGAAAATTATAGCATTTACAGTTGTGTAAATTTGCAGAGTATTTTTAATTCATGAATTTAGGTAGTGGAATTTTCATTTCTAATTACAATTAGAATATTTACGTTAAATGAATTATAAACACATGCATTAAGAGAATATGGTAAACTCTGAAAGTTGTATTCCTCGTGCTAAAACAAATCTCATCTCAAATCTAGCTTTGGAACATCATGATGCTAAGTGAAGTGTGACAAAATATTCATTTTTCGGTGAACTATCCTATTAAGGGTAATGCACAGTGCACAGCTTGGGTCTACTGTAAAATGTATTGTCTTTCCTTCTGTCCTACACACAGAAGTCCTCTTTATGTTAAAAATAAATAAATAAATATATTAATTAAAATAAAAATCCTTAAAATGTTACATCTAAAGGATATATCTAAAGGAAATCTGGATACTCAGGAGACTTATTGCATTAATTTTAAATCATTTTGTTAGTATTATTTTAAATACATGTTCTATACTTGGGAACCTGTCCTCAGCATGAAGTAACAATCTAAAACTTCCAAACAAAGTGTTTAAAAGTGCAACAAATTCAAAAATATACTTTTAAATTGAAAGGCAGAGATCTGTTATATATCAAAAATCTGTTATATATCAGAAGCCTGTGCCGTTTTAAGTTCCAGTCGTGTCTGAAAAATTTATTTGCTGGAGTTTGTTTTTGGATGAGCGAGGAGGATTTTTCTTGAAACTTACCCAAGAATGTTTTTAGAGAATGTATTTTTTTTTTCACTTCTAGCTCTTTACTAAACACTAGTAATACAGAATTGAAGACTTTTGATTTTTTATCAAATTATGCGTCAGTAGACATTATATGGTAGCTTGTGTCAAAAAATGATTTATAATGATTTCGGTTTTGACAGGTGTTTATGACAGGATATGAGGGTGGAAATAGGGGGTTTATGACCTTTTGGCCCAGCGTGGTTCCGGTGTGTTTAGTAATAATACGTTTTTATTATTGAAAATAATATCTACAGAATGATGAAATTATGAACAGACGATCCGCGGATATGATTTCGGATGGATCGGCAATGTCTGCGGGAGAGAATGAAAAGCGTTTAAAGAAATAGCATTGATGACAAAAAAGTTTATTAAGTATTTACAAGTACTTTTTAATATTGTGTTTAACTTAATGAGGTGTGCGTTATACAGTATGTCTACCTGGCTAGTCACTTGTTGCAAATTCTTTTTTAATAAATGAAAACCATTGTGCTTGAATAAAGCATATAAATAAATAGTGATTTAAATAAGATATGAATTAAATAAGATGTTAAATTTAAAAAGTACTTTAACATGTTGAGCTTAATGAGGAGATAGTAATGCATTTGGATAATGTTGCCGATTCTAAAGTCTTTCTGAGCAAGAAATGGTACAAATAGTTTTAAGAAATCAAAATCATTGTGCTTGATCATTGTGAATTCAACAAAATGTTGAATTCACTATAAGCATTGTAATCTAAAACACCCCAATATACTGTCTTAAACAGTTAAATAAAACAGTGAATAATAGTACTTCATTTGAAATAAGATGTTAAATTATCGAGTATAAGCATTTTTAATCTAATACATCATTGAAATAGGGTCCGCTTGGATGACCATCGGAGACGAGAGACAAGCCTGCACAACGAGAGAATGAATAAAAGCCGGGACATACTAAAACGCCTAATTGATTGTGTCATCTTTTTGGGATAGCAATAATTGTCTTTTAGTGGACATGACGAGGGGAATGAGTCGATTAATTAGGTAATTACTTGAAGGTTACTTGAAGTTACTGTCTCTGCTATCAGAATTCTATGCTGACTTGCGACACCACCTTGCCACGGCCATCATTTTTATGGGAACATCGGGGAAAATCCAAAACGATCTAATAAATGCTGTTGCTGAGGTGCTAAATGATTCCATCAAAAAAGAGATTACCAACACCAAGTTTGTCGCAGTTATGGTGAATGAGACCACCGATTGCAGCAACTCTGCACAGCTGTCATTTCTTCTCCGGTATGTACTGACATCGGAGTAAAGAAAAGTTTTTTTTTTTAAAGTTTGAGGATGTCACAGGGAAAAAACGAGCTCACGATCTAGCAGCTTCAGTACTTGAAGTGTTGGGTTGCTACGATTGCAAAACAAAGTTAGTTTTATTATTGGTACCAATTCTAAGTTAACCATATCAACACCACCCTTTCAAACCCCAAAACTGAGCCATATCCCAGCCTAATCTTACCCAAACCAAGACACATAAGAACAAATAAGTCACAGAAAAATTCTATATTTTATTCAATTTAAATTTTATTTAACAATAATACAAAAAATAAATATTACACCTAGAATTGTGTAACAGTGTGAAGGCTATTTTTTTATTTTGTACATAGAAATCACATAGACTTTTGTACATAGATCATAGAAAGTGAGTGCCTTTAGGCCAGAGTTTCCCATCTTTTTAAGTAACTTTAATTTCATTGTTTTTATCAATCAATTTATATCCGCATCTAAATATTTTATATTTAATTATTTTAACCATAATTTTTACATTCAACCATGTATGGTTCTCCTGGTTCAGTTTTTTTGTAATGTTTTTTGTGATGTGATCAACTCTTTATTGTCTTTAAATAAAATAAAATCCACTCAAACATACTGACAGGGAAGGGGGAGTGACATATCATCAATAATTAAACAATATGAAAGGAGGAATAAAAAAGGAAACTTTATATAGTCATTTCTTTATATAGTCCAATATGTTGAAAGAAAAACATTATGCCATGCATCAATGATAGGTTTAGCTCCTGGTTCAGTTTTGCCATAAGTGGCCAATTGTTTATTGCATTTAGATGTAACCTCTAAACATTACCCAGGTTGAGAACTATAAAATTATGTGATTAATTTCATTCTTTCAATGTAGATATTTTAATAGTACAGTATAATTATTTTCTCTCAATCGCCAACGAATATGGCACATGGCACACATGTTAATGAAATGACTAGAAATACATGACTAGCAAATATAACTGCAAGCAGTGATTGCGGGGCCAAGCACCTTTTGCACACCACACACCCCAAATGCATACTCAACACCGCACACCCCACACGCACACACATGCACACCACACACACCAAATGCCCCACACATTCACATCAAACAAGGCACACCCCACACACACGAACACACACCGCACAACCCAACACCACACACACCCCACACACACGCACACCCAACACCACACACCCCACACACAAAGTTTTTGACTTAAACAAAGTTTAAGTCAAAAACAAACAAAAAGTCAAGTCACATTTATTTATATAGCGCTTTTCACAATACAGATTGTATCAAAGCAGCTTCACAGTGATAACATGAAAGTAGTACAACACAGATCAATAATATTGCTAAACACTAAATAACCCCAACTGAGCAAGCCAAAAGCAAGCCAAAAGCAAGGCGACAGTGGCAAGGAACCAAAACTCCATCAGATTGGATGGAGAAAAAACCTTGGGAGAACCCAGGCTCAGTCGGGGGCCAGTTCTCCTCTGGCTTACATTCATATTGTTTATATATAAATATTAAATATAAATATTGTTTATGTATAAAACGGCGCCATAACATATCGCAGGCGTTGAGTCGTTTCTTCACAGGCGTTGGTCCTCTCATCACAGGCGTTGGGGCATCCGAAATCCCCGTGAGAGGCTGGAGACAAAACTGGACCTGACGAACGCCATTTTTCTCGGGACAAGCGTCCCGAGATAACAGCAGAAAGGCAGATGGGAAATAATTAGCATAGCTGATGTTCATAATGATGTCCATTATACGGGAGTCGGTGTTAGAAACCACTATCTCACAAACTCTCCGTAACCTGAACTCTCCGCAACCCAACCATACGCGCCGATCCGTTTGACTAAGGCTGTCGAGCCCCACTGGTGCGTTAAGCAGTTTCAGTGGCAAACGGTTCCGTATGGCATAACAGAGGACTAAAAGGTAAGCATTATGTGAATGCTTGACTAAAGAGATGCGCCTTTAATCTAGTTTTAAACTGTGTCAGCGAGTCAGAGCCTCGGACTGTATCGGGAAGGCTATTCCAGAGTTTTGGAACTAAATGCGAGAACGCCCTCCCTCCTTTAGTGGACTTCGATATCCTAGGAATGACCAGAAGCCTTGAATTTAGTGATCTTACGGAACGCGGTGGATTGTAGGGCGAAAGAAGGTCCGTTAAGTACATAGGAGCTAAACCATTTAGGGCTTTGTAGGTTAGTAGTAGTAGTTTGTAATTGATACGGAACTTAATAGGTAACCAGTGTAGAGATGATACAATCGGTGTTATATGATCGAGCCCGTTCTCATCCCAAAGCGCCATATAGGACGCTTTTGCAAAAGCGTAAACATCCAACGCACATGGCACCCTTTAACGTGAAATGAGACGCTTCGGTTAATGGTTAAGTTTAGGTATGGTGTAGGGTAAGGGTTAGACCACTAGGGGGCGCCTTCTGCCCAAATATATCTGCGTCTCATTTCACGTTAAAGGGTGCCATGTGCGTTGGATATTTACGCTTTTGCAAAAGCGTCCTATATGGCGCTTTGGGATGAGAACGCGTTGTATGATCATATTTTCTTGACCTAGTAAGAACTCAGCTGCATTTTGTACTAACTGTAGCTTGTTTATTGAGGATGCAGGACAACCGGCTAATAAAGCATTACAGTAATCTATCTCGAGGTCATGAATGCGTGAACTAATTTTTCTGCATCAGAGATAGATAGCATGTTACGCAGCTTAGCAATGTTTCTAAGGTGGAAAAAGGCTGTTCTTGTAACATATGAAATATGATTTTCGAAAGACAAGTTGCGGTCTAGTATAACACCCAGGTCTTTTACTGTAGTGGATAAAGTAACAGGACATCCGTCTATTTTAAAGTTGTATTGTGAGAGGTTTTGTGAGTAGTTTTTTGGACCAATAAGTAATACCTCCGTTTTATCTGAATTTAATAGCAGGAAATTACGCATCA